ATGTGATCAGTTCAATATGTATAATATGTGGCGTATTCATCACTTTATTAACATTTATTCAGTTTTGTAATCAGTCCTTAGCAAACACTTCGTGATATGGTCAGCTCTAAACACGTAATCTGTCATGATTTGTTCTGTGCTCTGTTTACAACGTGTGACTTCCATTTCGATTTATTTTGCTTCTTTTTCATCAACTTTAAAAAAAATTGTTTATAAAGTATGATTGATCATGTGATCATTCGCAGTCAGCTTTTTGCATCGATTTCCCCTCTGCGCAGATCGATGCAGAAGCTGACTTTTTTCTGGGCAATTTGCTCAGAATTTTTCCGTGTAGTTTCTGCTCTTCGCTTCATTTTAGTATCATTTTGTGTTGTAGTTTCCGCTACTGATCAAAGTACTACTTGCTAGCACGTGACGTGATTTATCTAGAACGCGTAATCTGCGATCAATATATTTTATTTCATTACTTGCCTTATTACTGAAAAAAATTACTATTTATGAAGCTTTTTTTTGCTTAATAGTTGTAATCTTTTTTATTTTGCGTTTTCATGGCAAGTCATAGAAGTTTAGCCATTATTGTGGCGTTTTTGTACTTTCTCTTTAAGCGTTTACGTCTAATATTCATACGTTTTGACTGAATTTCATTTTCGATTTCGAATTTCTTACTTGAATTAAAGTAGATTATGAGTGTTGTGAATCTTTATTTAAAAAATTATTACTGAATTGAGTTTTCAGAATAATTTTAGTCCTCAAAAAACGCAAAGTGTTGATCTACGTGATGAGTGATAGATCTTATAAGTTGTGACAAGTTTGCATGTAAACTTTGTAGGCTATAATCTTGTAACCTGAATTTAATTTAAGGTTATAATTTTTCAAGTATAATCTATAATGATTAGTGGAAAACACTGAATTGCTCAGAAATTATATTTCAGTCTTTCTATAATTTATTTACAGATTCTCAGTACAAAATTTCCAACTTTTTTGCTACAAGTGTCCGATTTCAGTATAAGTCTGAAGTCGATTTGTAACTGTTATAATTTATTTTATTTTTATTCTAGAAATAAATAAGTGAATCAGACATAAGATCACAGGAACTCTTCGGATTAATCAGTCCGATCAGTCTACATATTACTAATTCATTATTTTCTGTAAGTTATACTTTTTTAATTTCACTTTCAGATGTCAGATGATGTTCTGAATTATTTTATTGGTAATTTTGCCATTTATGTTCATTTAAGTACCGAAATATAGTCATTGTTGAAATGAAAACCAACGCAGAGTTTACTGCATACTTTTGTGCACTTGAAATTACGCAAATTCCGTCAACTTTTTTGGCGTGGAAATGCGATCACTTTTTTATTTGTTACCATATTTTTTTGCACACTTCATATGAACGTTGCATATAAAATAGACTATTTGTAATCATATCTTATGGTACATTATTCATGAAAAATTTTGTTCAAAATGCATATCATTTCTTGCGTTTGATCAAACTTTGAGGTAACGTAAGCAGTTAGTAAAAAAATTTATAAAAAAAAAGAACCTAATTTAACTTTTTGTTATATTTTCACAACATAATTTAACGACATTACCAATTTTCTGTTAGTCTATTTATAATCATATTTGATGGTGCTAAGTTATTTAGTATTTAATACACCTTTAATAACATTAATACTTGTGATCGTCATAATCATTTGTTTCAGCAATGAACGATAATCAACGTAAACTTAAAGAAGGCCATATATTGCACTACAAATCAGGCTTTCTAAGCAAAAAATGGAAGGATTCTTGGGTTGTATTATTTAGTGATTCCGAATTTGTATGGTACGATAAAAAGGTTACTTTTGCTATATTTTATTGGTTATTTTCAAAAACTCTCAAGATGAATTATTTTATTTTTGTCATGCTAACAATTACTGTCATTAATTTTTTTTAATTTACTAAATTCTGTAGCATATTTGCACATGAAGATAATGATTTTAGTCGGGTATGCAGTTTCGGTATTTGAAACTTGTCACTTCGTGAGTATAATTTCATCGAAACTTTGTGGTTTCAGAATGATTCAAAGCCGGTTGGTTCGGTTTTCCTGAAAGATGTTGTACCGTACACGTGCGTGGGACCTGTGTGTGATCGCATGCCAGGTTTATTTTTTCGTAAAAATTCATATAATTTGCAGTAGTAATCAACGAAGATTAATGAATAAAAAAAATTATCATGCTGGCAAAGTTGACTTTTTTTAGTATATTAACAGTACAATTTTCGCAGTAGTTTTAGTTATTTTAATGTAAGGTTGTAAAAACGTAAGTCCGTATTCAGCTCTAGATATTTGTGTAAATATAACTTTAGATTCCGCATCTTTATTTTTCAAATTGCGAAAAACTGAAAATAAAAAATTTAATTACTTCTTATGGGTTAGTTTTATTGAAGTAAACTGAACTTATGTCATAAAAGGAATTTTTTTTGTTGAAAATCATATTAATGCCCAGATTTTTAGCAGGTTGCATTATTACACATGATTAATTTCAGTGCGTCGACCAGATTTACCTAGTCGATATTCTTTGCATCACTTAGTTGGTATTGGTATGGATTCTCGTGCATCAAAAGTTCACTGGTTTTTATTTGCATCCGATTCTGATCTCGAGTAATTTTTTTATATCTTATCCATTCAGGTTTTTTTATAATCACTTATCTTTACACTTTTTTATTTTTGCTAATAAACAGTAAAAAAATTTATCAACATTTAGAATCATTAATTTTCATTATTTACTATCAATAGTATTACTCGCACCATCAGTATCATTCATTATTTTTATAATTATTACCTTTTTTGTATTTTGTTGCAATAATTCTGATGAAATATATCATAGATCGTGGTTCACCGAGATTATGAAGACATTACCAATGCCAGTTCCACCAGTAGCTGGAACCCAGCAACCTGTTGCTCCTGGCGGAATTAATCCATCAGTTCCTATTTATAGTAAGTTCTATTTTTGCTATAATTCTTATATCATATCAAAATTTTCCTTTAATAAATTATCAATAATAATTGAATTTATTTTATTGATATAACAAGCTTGTGCGAATAATTTACTTTAGATCCTCCTTCGATATACCCGAATGCTCCGTCTTCACCGGCTCAAACATATCCTAGTCAACCATATAATCCAGCACAGCAACCTTCACCTGTTCCTCCACAGTACGCTGGATCTATTCCAGCATATGGTGCTACCGGACTTAGTCATGGTGGTGGTGGTACTACAGTTATTGTTAATGTAAACTTTTTGATTCTGATCATTTCACTTCATCGTTTAAAATAGCAAACTTGACAAACTGTATTAGAGCGTATAGAATGACATCGTTTACTTTATGCAGTATTGCAACTAATGTTTGTTTCTATTTCAAGAGTAAAAGTATGATCCCACTAGGTTTCAGGATAGAGGTGGAAGAGATTATGGACCTACGTACGTTAGTGATTCAAGTCGTAGAAGAGGTCTAGGTCTTGGTAGCGGCATGTTAATGGGATCATTAATGGGTTTTGGTCTTGGAAGTATGTGGGGTGGTGGTTTGCATCATTCTCCTTTTGGTCTTGGTTGTCATGGCTTTTCAAGTCCACTTGGAATGGGTAGTGGCTTTGGTGGAGGATATATCCAGGTACTGTTTTTTTTGTGTTCATTACCACTATTTATTCAAAATTTTAAATCTTTATTGCGTAATTTCGTGTCATGGATATAAATTGCATAATCAAAATGTTCTTAATTTGTTGCACCCAATTACAAAAAATGTTATGTTGATATATACCTTGTTCATCCTGAAGTTCAAAGTATATGATGTGTTTTAAAAAAAAAAAAACTTTACTAAAGTTTCAATTAGTTTCCATTAAATGGTATCTGATAA